TGTATGATATCGTTCGCGGCAGTCACTTCCACCAGTGCTTGTCCCTTAGTCTCTTCAGCAACTGTTGCAAAACGGGCTGGCAGCGTGCCAAACGAAGCCGCGCTGGTACGCTCCGTCATCCGCAGCGAACCAGTCATAAGCACAGGGTTATGTGTTTCCCACAGCGGCGTCGATGATATATGTACAAGCTAACCTAATGGCAATCTCTGTTATTCGTTACATGCTGGTTCGTATGTTCCCTGGGAACCAGCATGTAACGAATCATTTTGATCCATTCCTTGTTTTATTGAGTAACTTCCCTCGTCCAAAATATTTATGGATCACTGCTCATTTTTTGTAGATCGTTCTGTGGAGGGAAAATCTTCAAGGACAATGGCAGAAAATGGATGACTCAAACGGGAAACGTTAATAAATTTTAATACTGAATATTGAAGTACTTATTGTTTCTTGTTATGTCAATCAACAAAATAATCATCGTTTTGTATTGTATAGTGGTGATGAACGAAAAATCTGTGATGACAGTAAGATTACTTCTCAGTCTATGCTGACATGCATTCCGTAAACGTAACGAATAATCTCGGTTTCTACTTTTTGTAACCTTTGCTCTGTCATCGACTTATGAAGGACTTCAAACCAATCGCGACTGTGTGGTACATCCACATCAATGCCTTTTAGGACTAGTGAAATCACGGCAATAACTAGGGAGTGAGACGAATGCGATAAAACAAATTCCGGTACAGAATAGCAATCCCTGAGCATTACGTTACAGGAGTCAACGATCGGTTTCTCGGAAAATTCCTTGGGCATCCATGATCGCAGTGTGTCCAAATAGATTGCCAACAACTGAAACTTGAAGCATTTGTGAAACAACGTATTGTATTTTTTGGGTACAGTTCGGCTTGGTGGTGGGGGGGAGGGGCACCGAATGGCTTTCGGCTGAGCTTTCAGGTTCGTACTATGCGACAGCGTTCACCAGCAACCACCAGCGTTTCCAGCGCCAGTGACTAGGAAAGTATAGATATCGATCTAGCGAACGCCAGCGTCCACCAGCATCAAGAGTGGGGACTATGGGGAAGTAGGTGTTGCAGACTGCTGGTAGATAATGGGAAATCGGCTGGATTAGGCGTCGTGAAATAGGCATGTACAAGCGGGCTAATGCCGTTTGGACTGCAGAAATTCGGCTCCGAGCTCATATTCAAATTTCCTAAATCACCAAATCCACTAAAAACTTGTATAAGAGTATTTCAAACATTCGTGTACAACATGACGCTCATTCTTGCGCTGGCCTCCAAGACGGGACACCTACGGATTACGATCTGGCCAGCCTTAGCAGAGCGCAGGTAACCGTAGTGTCATCCATTAGAGCCAGCGCCAAAAATGAATGTCATATTCGTGATCAAGTATGTTGACCCCTATATACAAGTTTTTAGCGATTTGGTGATCTTGCCACTTTAAACATGGATCTCGGAGCCATAATTATCTGGGTCAAACACGCATCACCGTCAAGCGCAACATAACAACATGCTAAAAGCAGAACAATTATACAGTTAAATCAACATATTCCATAAGTATTATATCAACCAGAGCTGTCACGGCGCCTAATCCAGCTGACTGCTCCCTCCTACTTCCCCATTCTCTACCAGCACTCTACTACCTTCCTACTTTCTCATACTTTCACTCTCGACGCTAGACTCGACGCGCAGTTGGTAGATCCAATATCCATACCTTCCCAGCCGCCACTGGACGCTGGTGGACGCTGCGGCAAAATATGAACGCAATCTTATTGTGGAGACCTGTGAATTATTGTGACCAGTGTGGGACCTGTTATTCATCACTGACTAACAAAGAGAACAGGCAAAAGTATGAAATGCAGCTTCTGAGCCAAACAGCGCCTAAGTTTTTGTAGATCAGAGTATTCACACTTACATTGAAAGGATGTCCAAAGTTGAGATCAAAGTTGAGTTCACGTAGGACGACAAACGTTAGTTCCGATATGCCTCTTCTCAGCTCATACATATGATCGTTGAGTTTCGCTGGATCACCGTCCGGATGCAGTATTCTATGAAGAAAATGTATTAACAGTTAGGAGCGTTGCATAGAAAGTCACGACTAACCGGTGACTTGCGTTGATGACATCGCGAACTCCTATATCACGGTCTTCTTCGTACTTGGCTGCCAACACTAAGCATGTCGTTGCAAGAGTCTGCAATCACTAGATGTATTGTAGTTGAGGGGACCCTGCGAGGCGCGACGTGGTGATCCCCCTCTTTCAAGAACGAACATCAGAAATGACAAGGGTGAGCGCAAGGCGTCTCGATAAATAGTATGAACAGCCTTGTTCGCCGCGGATGCTGAGGCACGTCAGGAGACTGGGTCTGGCGCGGCGCCAACCCGATCTCCACCAATTGCTGAGGCGAACAAGTGAGAGTAAGTGGTGGGAAACTGGTTTGCGCGCGCTAAACCCAGCCCGCTGACTTGTCTCAGCATCCGCAAGAGGCTGTATTTATTCCTTTCTTGTGCAACAAAGGAAGCATCTCCTAAAACGAGAAAATCTTAAAGTGATAACTCACGTAGTTACATACTACAGATCCTATATCTCGTTGTAGAAGACGATGCATCATCATAATACCAGAACATACTGTTTGGTTCTTTGCTCTGAGCCGAATACCTGGTAATTACTCAAATAGCATCATTTCTCTAAACCCATGACATCAATGACCGTCAGAATTAAATTACTAACCACATCGTATTATATGTCTGTATACTTGTTTTGGTGTTGGATTATCCAAATCGTCGCTGCTCATTGTGACTGAATGACTTTGCAATGCGATTCAGAGGATGAAGTAAACTATAATGTCAAGAAGCACTTCAGCTTCTTCATGTATAGGCATTAATCTCTGGAAGATATGATTTGTTCAAAAATTCTCGGATTTGAGTGCTGTAGATCAGAAATACTGGTACTCGGGAACACCGTTAAAGCACAATAGAGAGCTTGGGAAATGTTTATTTGAAAATTCCGACTAAACAACTCAAGAAACTATACCATAACATTAACCAGCCATATGCGACATCATGCAACGCCATTTCGCGCTATACTCATAAATCTGATGCTGCGCTAGCAACCTCTTGGGGCCACAGCAAGGAAAACTAGAATTACAGTAATGGAATTACTGACTTCGCCTGAGCAGTGATGGGGAAAGGAGCTTGGCGTGTGTGTACCAATTCCAAGTGTAATGTTACTCGGATAACGCCACCTTCAGTTTTGCACGAGGAGTCTTTTATATGCCCCTCCAAGGTTATTAGCACCAATGGAGCATTCATTCGAAATCAACACGGTCAAACCATAATTGAAAGGAGAAGGCTCCTAGCCTCGCCAAAGACTTCGTAGATTATATCTTCCATTTATTCACCATAAAGTGATGGTTAAAGCATAATTTGTATTTCGAGCACAGGAAATAATAGAGATAAAAAATGAAACTGAAAACTGAAGGAACATACCATAGTAAGAGCATCAAAAAAGATGTACCAGGCTCAATGAACTACCCGTGGAATTAATTGATACATGCTGCTTTTCAAAATCGCAATCAAACAACAGGATTGACGGATAACAAGATTGAAGAAAACTGATATACATAACCTCGGAGATCAAAAAAACTAGTCTGAAATATATAAGCACTTATCTAGAAATAATATTCCATCATTATTATTTCATTATAAAGGCGGCATTGATGCATTCTGATCACAGACGTTGCTTAAAAGGAAAATTTCCCTGCAGGTTGCTCATTTTTCGAAGACCTCCAGACTGAACCCGCTTTTCCCTTACTATTGTTGAAAATAACAGACCAAAATTCAAGGAAAGAGCAACATATAATGGATCAAGCAGCAACTAAATGGAGAACATCATCAGGTTCAGGCGAATAGAAGTCAAGGGTACGCATGGGATTATCTAGTTCCACTTTGTGAGTACCTTTGTCGAGCACTAGTTTCACATTCAACAGGCCTGTTGAAAATACACGCCCAATCTGAAAAAAAAGCGGTGATCCTTTTATTGGCACTATTTACGCTTTACTATCCCACTCCTCCAACTTCAGACTAGATTTCGATCAAATTTTTTTACGGGGTAGATTTCGTCCGAATTTTGTTCTCTAGGTCAGGTCATACGTTGCAGAACCCCAGCTCGTAACTTGCATTCCGGAAAAAGGTTTTCAGACTTTTCCCGGTTTTTCCTGTCTCAAGTACGGTATATATAGGCAACCCTTCTCCACCCCTCCCTCACTCGAGTTTTTTTGGTTAGAGTACACTGGAGAAACTTTCGAGGAAAAACTCTGAGGAAAAGGTAGGAAGTCGGAAAGTTTAGAACCGTGGGTAGGGTGAGGAAGGGGGAGTGGGGAAGGGGAGGTCGTACCAGAGCACGAAATTTCGAGGGAAGGGTCGTATTTTGCAAAAATCTTCCCAAGTAACAGGACACTATCGGTTTGGTCTCGTATTG